TGGCATGGTGCTGGTCCAGATGGAGAGGGCGTCCCACTGGGTTGGTCTTCACTGCCTCTTTTTATAGGCGCAGACCTTGTGTGACCCTAGTGACAGGAGGCATGCCCAGGCAAGGGTCAGCCCCTGGTGTACTGAGCATATGTGCTCCATGCAGGGATGTGCAGTTTTGGGTGTCTGTAATGGTGGGGTACGATGGTAGAGTTGCTGGTTCTGCAGGGTCTTTTGTCTTTCAAATGCTGAGTTCTTGTCTCTGTTCCTGGGTGAGGTCTGTGGTTCCTGGATGAATCAATACGAGGTGATGGCCTGGTTGTTACAGGCCATTCAGTAGAGGCCTGCTACCATTGTATTTCAATCATTCCTAATCACTCTTATTCATCCAGGAACCAATTTACATGGGAGGGGTGCATGAATAATACAGTTGCAACACAGGGGATGCCCGGGCAGAGGACGTAAGATGGAGGCTTGACATACAAGATGGAAACTTGACATGACTTATGCTAACTTACATATATAGGCCTAAAACAGTAATCACACAATATAAAAGCAGTACAAACATAATTATCACTTATAAAACTGGGTATCAATATCAAAATAGCAGGGAACTTATTTGCAGAAGAGGGGAGAGAAAAATAAAACTTACTACCTAAAATAAAATGTTAAAGCTTATCCTACATCTTAGCTTACTTATACTTATCTATAGGGAATAGAGAGGGAGAGAAAAAGTCAGAAATGGTTGGGGAAAGGGAGGTAATGCATTTTAAAATAAATAAAAAAAAGAAAAACTGGGCGTTTTGCTACAAAAGGAGAAAAATGCAGATTTTCCTCTTAGAAGTGGAAAAACACAGGTTTCCCCTTTTGCAAACAGTTCTCTGCAGGCTGCAAAATTCCAGCCTGTAAGAGCTACTTGCAGAAGGGTGGGAAACCCTAAGCCATGTCTGGAGGGGGTAGGGGCAGGGGCTGAGACTGAGACAGCCAGGGCTGGCTCAGACTCACTGTCCCTCCTGCAGCCTTTGGGGTAAGTACAGTGTTTGGGGGCCTGGGAGGCATTGGGGGGGTGGGGGGTGTGCGTCAGGTGAGAGTCATGCTGCCAGAGGGCTGGGGCCTATGGGGAGAGCTGGCAGGGCAGGCAGGGGTTTGTGGGTGGCAATCACCCCGTCCTGTACCATGGGCTGAAGTCGTAGCAGATGTGGGCTGCCTTGTACTGCTGTGGCTCATCCCAGTTGGGCTGGGGCTGGAGGCACTGCCCAGCAGGGGGACAGCAGCAGAAGTTCAGTGTGGGAGGGAGGAAGTGCACACTGAGCCCATGTGTGCCAGGCCAGGTGCCCTCAAGGTAGGGTTGAGAGCTGGGGCTGGGGGTGCTGCCCAGCCAGAGCAGTGCCCAGGGGCAGGGTTGGGGCACTGGGGGCGGGCATGACCCATCTGCTGTGCTGGTGGCCGCTGCCCAGATGCTCACTAAGTTGCCACAGTACATCCTGCCTGCCTGTGGCCGTGGTGGCTGCTGGCATGTCTGGTTGGGCTAGCACTGGAGGTGGAGGCTAGGGGTACACTGTATGGCAGGGCACAGGGAGGGGAGGGCAGGAGAGGAGCAGCATGACTAGCTCACATGCTGCCCTGCCTGGCCCGGTGCCTTGCCAGCCCCCAGCTTCTGGTCCTGGGAACCACTCAGCGGGGTTGAAATGGGCCAAGGGAGAGGGGTGGAGATGGCAGCAGGGTGTGTGTGTGTGTGTGTGATGGCCTGGGGGTGGAAGAATGTGGAGTGGGGTGTGTGTAAAAGAGAGATGGTGGGGGGGCACTCTGGGTAGAAGCAGTCCCCAGAGCTGGGCCTAGAACCCCCCGGTCCCCTAAAGCAGCTTGTGCAGGGGGAGGCTGGCCTGGAAGGGAAGGGGCTTGCCCAGCCAGAGGAAGGCCCAGCCCAGTCCCTGAGCCCCAGTCAAGGGTTTCCCAGGAAGGGCATGGGGATTGCTGGGGCCTGGGCACAGGTGCGGGGAGCAGAACAGCAGGGGCCAGCACTGCTCAGAGCTGCAAAGCAGTAGGCGGGACAGCTGCAGCTGGATCCATGGCCTGGTGGGGGGAGCTGGGAGGGAGCAAATAGGGGGCAGCCAGGGACTGTGAGTTGGGAGTGAGGGGCAGGGCTGGGGGTTGGGAGTGAGGGGCACCAGCATATCAGTGCATATCAAAGTAGCTGTGGGAACAGCCACAGCTGGATCTGTGTCCTGGTGAGCAAAGGGGGCAGGGAGAGCTCTGTTTTTCTATGATAAAAAAACCAAAACCAAACACCAAAATATATAGGTATTTAGGATGTATTTTATTATAATGATTGAGTCACTGGCTTCCGGATTGGTTTAAAATTGTAAATATATCAATAAAACATTGTGTTCATCTGATGCCTCTCTCTCTCTCTCTCTGTCTCATATGTGTGTGTGTGTGTGTCTCCTAAACACTGGATTGGTGGGGATGTGATGGGTGTGTGGAGAGCTGAACATGTCTTAGAAGAAGACAAGATAAAGTGATTCCCTGCATGGATAAATAGGTATTTATTGTGGTAACTAGCCCTGGTCAGCCTGAGCCCACAGTCTACAGAGTCCAAAATCCCAGTAGGCTGTTATG